GCAATAGAATTTCATGATTATGAAACATTCTCAAACGGACAATACCCATACCTTGCACCTTGCAAGCTTTGTTGTTCCCAAAAAGCACCATTCCACGTTCTTTGAGTTCCAAAGTCTTAAAGAAATCCTTCACAGGACACATGTGGTAGGTACATCCAAAATCCATAACCCAATTCCTTTGCACTGCTAAAGTTGATACCACCAGCACTCTTACACTCTCATAACCATCTAAAACAACGACAGCCAAAAAAATTCAAAGCTTTTCGATTCCTTGCCTCCTTTCTTAGAACAGTCTCTCTTGTAATGACCAATCCTACAATAGATATAATATCTAGACTTAAACTTTGTTTTACTCTTCCATTTTGATGTAAACTTCTTTCCCATTGGTCCTTTCTTCTCGCTCTTCCCCCTTGAAACATTCGAGCTTTCACCATTATCATCTGTCTTCAATTCTCGCTTATTTTGAAGTTATTTAGTCCAAAATGAGGTTAGAACCTCATCCAAGGTAATGGCTTGATCTTTGCCATACAAAATAGCATCCTTGAAATGATCAAAGGATTTCGGTAAAAAGTTGAGTAGGAGCAAAGTTTTACCCTCATCTTCAAGTTATTCTTAAATCGATCTTGCTTCTATCATCTTGAAAGAATAAACTTGTTGATTCAAACTTAATTGGTTTGTCAAAGATTTTGTTATGTATAAAGATTTTAGTTTGACCCACATGATAGAAGTTGTCTGTTCTCGTGCAACCTCCCTCAAGGTTTTATCACCAAGACACAATGATGGAATCATGCCTAGGAAGGCAAGGGGTGACACATTGAAAGAGCCAAGAGGAATGGGCTAGACATGAAGGTTTGGGCCAGACAAGGCCCAATGGGCCCGATGGGCTTGGAAGGCCCAAGTTGAGATTCTCATGGGCCATATCTTGTTTTATCTATTTTTCTTATGTCTTGTATATATCATGTTAGTATAGGTTTTCTATATTTTGGGTCTTGTATTTTGGACCATCTAGGATAGCATTTTAGGCTATAGGCTTATTGGGCCTAGTTTTGGGCTTCATGGGCCTTTGGGCTTTTGGTACCCAATATTGGGCTCATTTTCATTCTTGTAATTTTTACTTTCCATTGTATTTGCTTGGCCATTGTATTTAGGCCATTAGATTAGGATTATTGAGGGATTACTTAAATAGGTTCATTAGGCTAAACTAGATTTAATTTAGAAGGCATTTAAGTTGAATTTGGGATCACATGGATGGTGCCACTTGTGGCTGAACATGTACTTAGCCAAATCAACCCTAAATGCTTCCTAAATCAAATTAAGATGCAGGAGGGCACCTAGATTCACGGACTTGCACATGGGAGTGAAGATTTGAATTCAAATTTCAAATTTGAATTCAAATCTTGGTGCCACATGTGGTGTTTGAATCTTGGCACCAAAATGCTTCCCTAGCCAAGCCTATATATGCATGATCCTTCATAACTTGTATTCACTTTTGATGAATGAGAATTTCTGAATTTTGCTTCAGCCCAAATTCTCTCAAAGGTCACCGAAATCTCACCTTCCCTAGTTCTAGGAAAACCTCCATTTCTAAACTTGAAAGTGAGCTTTCTTTTGGTTCTTGAACTTGGATGCTTCCTTCCATAGTTTAGGGATCTTCTCCTTCTGAATCACTCTTCTTCTTTGCTCATCTATTCGGTGGAAGCCTCAAGGATAAGGTCATTGTTTCCGGAGAAGTCACAAGAAGCAAGAATCCATCCATTGCTTCAACCTAACTCCATCACACAAGATGAAAACACTTCTAGTTTTATCAATCATTTCGTTCTTCTCTTTCTGTAATAATGATCCGACATTTTTGCCTCACCCTTCAAAGCTTTTACAGCACGTTGTGGCACCAAGTTAGCTTTCATCTTTATCTTCCATAACCCAAAGTCATCGTTCCCCAAAAACTTCTTAATATTGTAATTGGTTGTTCCCATGATTCAACCTTTCTTTTTCTTACTTCCTTCCCAAAGACAATGTCACTTGTTGGTTCTAAAACAAGAAAGAAAGCAAACCAAAACAAACCATATGGAAGAACAAACCAATGAAACTATAGAAACGAGAATAGCCAACAACAAGGTTATCGAAAAACCATTACAACGCCAATATAACAATATGGCGAGGCAATTTTGAGCCTCGCCACCATTCGCCATCCGCAAAATGGTGTTTTGTGGTGTCGTCCGCCATTTCTGCCGTGGCGGCTGCCATGTCCGTTTTGACCCTGTTATGTTATGAAGGTGATAGCGGACATACAGGTCTAGGGCCAGTTTTGGGCTTCGACCTAGGCCCAACAAGTGTGCCCAAATGGTTTCGGGGTTCAAGAGTGAGAAGTCGTGATAGCCACCCACCCAAACGCAGTTCATTTACCTTCAATCCGTCTCCGATGACATTCCTTCGCCATCGCCCACCACTCGCCAGTCACTTTTCCAACCGACGACCTAGACTAGGTGGTCCACAACTCCGACGACCAGAAACATAATGGCGAACAAGACTTAGGGAAGTTGAAACCACCTCTGATCACCGTTGCCCACCACCCCTTAGTCACCTTTCTGGCTAGCGACTTGAATCGTGGTGGTCCAGCACTCCGACGACCATAGCCAAACTTAAAACTTGAACAGGTATTTTACCCAAATTTAATCCTCCTTCTTCCTTTATTTTCTCCTACTCCTTTGAATCCTTTCTTAATTCTTAATGAGTTTGTTGTTGCATCTGTAACAACAATTTTTTTTAATCTTAATTTTTCTACCAATTGAGTCAATTTAAATTTCTATTTTGTTCTAAATTCTAAACTAATATTAAGTTCCTATTTTATTATTGTTCTTATTCTTATTTTTAGGACAATGTCTAGCAATCCTTCTCAAACTCAAAGTCAGACATCCTCAAACTCTGTTAAGAGGACAAATATAGGATGGAAACATTGTCATCTTACCAAAGAGAATGATACAAATGAAATTGTTTGTAATTATTGTCAAAAAATCATGAAAGAAGGAATTACAAGAGCGAAGCAACATCTAATGGGAAAGAAGGGAAATGTTGCACCTTGTCAAAGTGTTCTACAAGAAGTTAAAGATGAGTTGTGGGCACTTGAGAAAAATAAGAAGATGAAAGAAAGTGAGTCATGCCAAAGAATAATGGAAGACGTGACTTTTGATATAAAAAATAAATAAATAAATGAAGGGAACAGAAGACAATCAAAATGTTCATATTTTAGTATATTTCAAATATATATAGTACGTTAATTTTTATATATATAAATGTAAAAGAGACTTTGAATTCAATGGTTGGGTTGACAAAATTCATTTTTTATATAAGTTATTAAACAGTGTAATAATTGGTAAAAGTTACACCAGTATCATTTAATCTCTTCACAATATGTATGTGTATATATATGTGTGTATTAAGGATTCGGTTGGACCATGGTTCTCCTGGCTACTAAAGAACAAAATCGCACAAGTAAAAAAAAAATTAAAAGGAAAATATAAATAAATAAAGGGAACAGAAAAAGGAAAGGGAAAAAAACTAACAGAAAAACAAAAGAGAGAGAGAGTTGCCGGAGCCACAACAAGAGGACCCGCTCGAGAAGAAGAGAGGAGGAAAAGAAGTAAGGTCACACATGCACAAGGTCAACAGCAAGCCAGGAGCGACACACACACAATAAGAGATATAAAAAATAATAATAATAAATTTTAAAAAAATTTATAAAAAAAAAAGATTTGAAAGTGGAAAGACAAAAACCTACTGGTTTTATTATACTAATTGTAATGGTGGCAACACAAATCTAATGGTTGTATTATACTAAATGTAATGGTGGCTACATAGCAATCATACTAGTCATACAAGTATATTTCACTTTAACCATATTAGTTGGTTTCATGTTTCAACACTTATGGTTTTCATATTTCGAACCATAATATTTTTTGTCTTTCATACTTCAGCATGGTTTTTATATTTTGAACCATAATCTATTACAAACTTTGTTACTACTTTATTGTTGTAGTTTGTTATTTTTTTTTATACAATAGAGTTGAAATATTGAATTATTGTATTAAAAATATTATGTTTCATGCATTTTCAGGTATTTTCATACTATTTTTATATTAATTTTACATAGACTCCACGTATACTCTCAAATTTGCTAACCTTGTTTATTTTAATTAAAAGAAAACATAAAATGTGAAAAAAGAAACTTACAGATTGTCGAATAAAAAAGCTGAACAAAGAAAACAATAGAACTATTATCGTGTCTCCCAATTACAAACAAGGAATGCAAGTGGTGATGTCAGCATTGTAGTGAATGCTTAGGACTACTCAAAGTCAAAGGTCCAGTGCACAATCAACTCACATAGGAATCGGGGTTGCGGACAATGATGGCATGTTAATATCCAACAATTGTAAGGTATAAAACTTAAGTCAACCGTTGAAAGTATGGGATTCTAGCGTGAGATTTATAAAGCCTTGGGCTTTTCAACTACAATGGCTGACTTTTGTGGAGTGGTTGTCCTAAGAAGGCAAGACTCTTAACACTAATTCAGAATAACCTCAGAGAACCACACCACAAAAGCTAGTTACTTAAAAACTAGTGATAGTGCAACTATTGGAAAACTACGGTAACTTATCCAAAATAATGAAGTGGATGCATAAAACAAATCCCCAGCCAAACATCAATAAAAACTATTTAACAAGAAACGACATACAGGTGCAGTGTAAAATTTGAGTAGGTCGTTGAGTGACATGCAGATATTATTAAGTCAGACATCACATGTGAACAATCATCGTATCAGCACGAGAAAGGTAATAATACACCTATCATTCTGAGCATGCACTGGTATGTATGGCTAATCAACATACAAAAGGAGGCAAGCAACTTCAAATTTGACAAGTAAACAGTACTCATTGAAAGGTTGTCATTGTCCAGGACTAACCAAATAAATAAGGGATTCAATTAGAAAAAGATAATAACTAACCTTCATAACTACAATTGCAAAGCAGTGCAGTGACAACATGGCGGGTAGAGTCATCATACTCCACAAGCAATACCTTAAGGGATCTAACATGCAAAAACCTCTCCCAACAAATTATTGCCCCTTGAGGCTGTGGTATATTCTGCTGGACAGAGGAGGATTCCACAGTCCCCCCCTGTCCAACCTTAACTTCTTCAGCTACTCCATTACATTTCACTTCATTGCCCTCACATAAACCATGCTCCCCACCAGAAACCTTCTTCCCATCTCGTAAGCGCTGATTCAGTTCTTTCAGCTCTTTGCTGTCGCCATCGACACTCATCTGGACAACCCTTGTCATCCAGAATGCCCAAATTCACACTGACTATAACCCGTCCTCATCCAAAGGAAAACAGCACATGCAATAATCTTCAGGAACCCCAACCCAAATGCAACTGCAAATCACTAGATATGCAGTCAAAAGAAAATAACAAAACCTTTACAACTAACACAAGTAAGAGTTAAAAAAAAAAAACTCCCTGACCAAAAATATCCACAGCGCTCTCATAAAAAACCCTATCAGCTGTTCTCACCCTGTAATAGCAGAGTATCCCTTTCTAAAACCATTCAATTCAAATCCAAACGAAAAACTATTCAAAGCTAACCATAGATCTAGTGCAAATACTAATCCCTATACAAAGTGATGTTATTTTATTTTACTTTTTGTAAATATCTACCAAACCCTAACTGAGCTGAAGAACTTAACCCCACATCCGAGATTTGACTTACTGAAAATCCAAAACGTCAAAGCTGTAACCGTACACAAACAAAGGATCCTTGCTCGAACATGAACATCCAGAACCAGAAACGATGCATCGTATTCGTTATGCTAAACCGCTGGCACTGTCAAGAACGAGTAGATTTGAAAATAGAAACGAGATATCCTCATTCCAAATCAAAAAGTTCAAAAGAAGAGACAGGGATTACCAGCCCAGAAACTTCACTAATCGCCATTATCGAGTCATCATAAAACGATTGAAATTACATCATATCATAATAATAATAATGATAACTAGTAATTTAAAAATTTGTGTTAAACCTCAAAGCCAAATCGAGTTAGCATAAACAAAATTTCGGAAAATAGAGAGAGAGAGAGAGAGAAAGAAAAAAAAAAACTTGAATTAGGTCGTGTTTGGTTGTAAAAGGAGCTTGACTAATCTGAAAATACGGTGAGGAAGGAGATAACGCCGACGTTAGTTTAGGGAAGAGGAGAGAGATAATGGGTGGGTTCGGACCGCGATGACCGAGGTTGGTGACGTGGACAAAGTGGAGGTGTGGAGTGCTCGCGAAGTGACACGTTGGAGGAAGATATTTCCACGTCAGCATGGGGTTTGGGGACGCCACGTTGCTGACGTGGATAAAATCAAAAGCCGGGTGCTGGAGTGCGTATCAGGCGACGGAGAAGATCTTCAAGATTTCGAAACGAACACGTGGCGCAATCTCGCTTCACAACTGTCTGCCTTTTGTTTACGGAGTTTCATTCAAACATAATGACGGTAATGACCTTCGTTATGCATTGCGCAAGTTTTCTGCAAGCAATTTTTCTCGGAAAAAAAAAACATTATCTGTGCTAAAAATGCGGATACACAAAAATTAGATAATTCAATCACATAAAATGTCACCATTCTATACCAAAATTAAAATAAAATAAAAAAAGTTTTGACAAATTTGGTTTGTCTTCGTATGTAGACGGATTAAGACAAAAAAAAAAAATAGGGGAAAAAATAGATGAAAAATATTACATAAAATCACAAGTACATTTTTCATAGTCAGACTCAAAAACTTTATAAAATTATAATATACTTTGACTTATTTACATACTATATTTTAAAATGGGATAAAAATCCGACACCTTTATCTTTAATAATAACACTCCTTTTTTTTTAAGCAACATACTTATTATTTCATTATACATAAAAGATCCAATACAATTTGAAATAAAATCAAAGAGTTGATAATTAGTAAAGAGTCTAGACTCCTTTGCAAATCACTTGATTAACTTGATTAAATTGAATCACAAAATTAATAAAATTTTTAATATATAAATAAAAGTTAAAATATATATTAATATAAAAATTAAAATTGTACATATATTTACTGCTACTAAATAAAAATCATATAATATAATATTAATAATATAATTGATAAATCAATACTAATAATTTTTTAGTTTATTAATATATCATTAAATTATAATTTTTTGATAATATTTTTAACTTGTACAAATATATATTTGTTATTACCAATTGAAAAAAATTTATACATTATTATTAATTATTAATGATTTATTGATAAATTAATATTAATAAAAGTATTAGTATATCTATAAATAAATTAAAAAATATATTAATATATTTTATAAAAATATAAACATATTAGATAAGATAGAAATATATTAGAAGACTGATAAATAGAAATATATGATGTAAATATAAATTTTAGTTACTAAAATATATAAATTAGATGCTCAATATTTATATCAAGTATTTTTAATTAATCTTCTTATATATTTATATTTGTTAAATTACTAATTTATCAAAAATATACTAATAATATTTGATAATATTATCAATTATTAATATTATTCATATAATTTACCAATTATATTATTATCAATAGTAAATATAGGTGCAATTTTGATTTCTATTGAAAGTATATCTATTATGTAATGTAGTAAGTATTTCAGAAGGTGATGGGTGATTTAGTAACCCAGAACGGGTCGTTCCCAAACTGGAACGGACCATTCCAAACTACTAAATTGGTCTATAAATCCTAGACTGGAACGGGCCGTTCCAAATGTGGTTATTATGAGTTAAATTCAACTCTAGAACGGGTCGTTCCGGTTTAAAAATGGGTCGTTCTAGACGTGTCAGAACGGGCCGTTCTGGTTTCCAAACGAGTCGTTCTGTATGTGAATTTTACACATGATAAAGGAGTCCAGAACGGGCCATTCTAGATTTAAAACGGGTCGTTCTGGCCACTTCTGACCTCTATAAATAGGCGTTAAGGAGGGAGAGAAAGGAAAAGAAAGAGGGAGAGGAAGGGAGAGAAGTTTAGAGAGAAGGACTCTGGTCCGCTAGGAAACTTGATTTTCAATGATTGAAGTTCGGGAGTCGAGCTCGGAGGAAAGTTTTTCTTATTCCCGAATTCTTGGCTATTCGGAGCCAATATTCAGGTTAGGGAAGCTTTATGCATTGTTTAAGTTGGCATGATAGATGAACTTTAAATATGTTGGTTGATTTGTAATTTGTGTCGAATATGTTGTATATTGTTGAAGTTGTTTATAAAGTTATTAAGTTTTCTGATGAAGATGAGTTGAGTAGTTGTTGGCTTAAGTTGTTTATAGGTTGTGTGGTTGATGAAACTAAGTTGTTTACATGTTGTCTATCGTTGAAGTACTAATAATTTGAGATGTATAAGTTGAAGTAGATTATTGTTATAAAGTTGTTTAAAGTTATTAAGTTGCATTAAGTTGATATTGTAATGACTATAGTTGTTCTAGTTGTTTAATTAAGTAGTATAAAGATGCCTATTGCTGTAAAGTTGAAAGTTGCCTTAAAGTTGTTAAAGTTGAGATTGATGACTATAGTTGTTTATTGTTGTAAAGATGCATATTGTTGTAAAGTTGTTATGATGCTTATAGTTATAAAGTTGTTATGATGCCTATAGTTGCAAAGTCGTAAAGTTGTAAAGTTGTCTATTGTCGTAAAGTTGTAAAACTGCCTATTATTGTAAAGTTGAAAAGTTGGGGACATATGGTGAAGATATATGTCCTATGTTGAGATACATAGTACTAAGGAAATAAGTTGAAAGTTGTTTTAAAGTTGAATCCCTTAGTACTGTGTGGGCGACATGGAAGTAGTCGATCCATGTCCTGGTTGAATGACCAATTTGAATAAGGTATCTAGTTAGAGATGTAGTCTTTGACTAGGTACTGGAGGGTACATGGTACTTGGAGGACAATGGGTGGGCTAATTTCATATGTAGATTGGTGATGCTAGCCAAGGCTGTGGTAGGCTCATACCCAAACCCTTCTGTCCTAACATAGTACTGGACCTCCAAGTCTAAGTGGCAAACCTGAGCAATTGCCTATTGTTGTCTATACTTGGTTCTCTTCGGAGTTCCTAACGATGTCCTATACCTGACTTGGTTGAGATAGGTCAAACGCTAGATTCGGTAGGGTTTATGCCACTTAGACTGCTCAACCTCAGTTGTTAGAGATCTCCTAGTTGTATATGCGTGACGACACATTAGTTGATGTTGCATAGGTTGTTGCATTCAAGTTGTATATAATGTTGTATGAATGAGTTGATAGTTGAGCTATTGTGATAAATACTATGTGATTGTGTTGTGATGAGTTGTTGATTAGTAGGACTAGAGGAGAAGTTTTCAAAGTTGCTCATCCCATTGTGCGGATTGAGATAGTTGTGGTGCTCTGAGAGCCCAATTTGTTTAAAATATCTTCCTTGGAAATTTTTTCCTTGGAGTGGATAATGTGTCGTTCTTCTCTAGGACTTGGTTGGTCCCGTGTGTGGGCAAGGTCGAGGCACACGTATATGAAGCGACCACGATATAGGGGTCAGGCCGACCTTTACCGATTACAAGCGGCCAATTTGAATAAAGTGCGATGTGTTGAAAATGTTGTTGCTAGTAGATGATATTGTATATCTATTGTTGTAGATGTTGGGTTGCTTTAAGTTACAAGTTGAAAGTAGAATTCTATTGTTGTTTATTATATGATGATGCTATTTTTTTATGATTATTGTTGAGCTTACCCTAGCGTGTTTTCCCTGTGGTTGGGACTGTGATGACCATACCTTAGTATGCGAGTAGATCAGGATAGGTGTTCTGCTGAACTGGGTGCGCTTCGGGACTCAAGAGGAGGGCTGACGTTGTAGTTAGTTGATTGGTAGCTTTTGACTACGTAGTTGTTGTATAGGGTATTATTTCCCTACTTTAGCTTATATATATTATGAGACTATTTAGTTGTGTATTCTTGTTATATATATAATTGTTTAGTAGTGACATTTTATTTTATACTTGTATCTGAACACTAGACAGTGTGAGACCTGACGGGTCGTTACATATTACAACTTTCATTTACATAATAAAAAAAATAACTATTTAATGGTTAAATGTTCTTGTTAAATATAAAAGTTTTGAGGGTTTTAATATCGTTTTTAAACATTTGACAATTTCTTTTATATAATAATTGTACCAGGAACACCTCTTCGCCTAATAGGAAAGTCAGATACCCCTTCGGCCAAGAAAGGAGCCGAACACCCCTTTGACTAATAGGAAAGTCAGATACCCCTCCGGCCAAGAAAGAAGTCGAACACCCCTTTGTCCATAAGCTTGTCCGACGAAGGTCAGGATACGCCCATCTGACTAATCAGTCTAACAAGGAGGCTGAATACCACTTCAACTAACAAGGAGGACAAACACCCCATCGGTCAAGGAGGAAGCCAAACACCCCTTCGACCAAGGGGGAAGCCGAACACCCCTTCGGCTATAAACCTGACCGACAAAGGTCAGGGTACGGCCATAGAGGACCCCTCTGACTAATCAATACCTAAAACTAATTAAAGGACAGCAATCCCTAATTACCCATATCCCAAGATAGAAGTCCCATTAGGCCCAAACAGGTCATTATAAATACGTGGGTGATGGGACAAAAATAGGTATGGTTATTTAATATAACAACCTTTATTGCTCTGTACCGAATACTTACTTGAGCATCAGAGTGCCTTTGCAGGTACCCTCCCCACCATTCGGAGATAGGACTTAGCTTGTATTTCGAACTTAGAAGACTAATCAAGAAGGAGGAGAGGAGAAGTGTTCTTAGCAGGAACATTTTGGCGCCCACCGTGGAGCCGAAACCAAAACGGTTTTTGACCCTGAACTGAGATGGTAGCAACAAGAAGTCAACAAGAGAACGCCACCGTCCACAACCTCGGAATGCCCCGGGAACCCACAAGTAGACCAATCAAATGGGCGATGGGATAGAGGAATCATATGAAGACCGTTCGCAGCCGGCTAACCCATCGTCGGCCATAAAACAACTAAGGGCCGAGATGCAGGAATTAAAGAGACTTCGGGAAAAAGATTCCCATGAATTGTCTATCCTAAGAAAAGAAAACGTGAAACTTAGGAGTGATAATCGTTCCTGGCATCCGTCCCACGGCACCCCCAACACCCTGTCAATG